ACAATCATTAGGATTTCAAGCTCCTTAATTACTTAACTTCACTGCCAACTTTGCAGCAGAGATAGACTCTCAAACACAAATTTGGTATGATGTACCAGGAGGACAAAAAGGACAGAATATTAACACTGCTCTTCTGAACGGCAGTCAGGTAATCATTTACTGCTGAATTTAAAAAAAAAAAATTGATGTTCAACATCCTAAGCTGCTACAAATTCTATCTTTTCTTCAAGGCTCAAAAGTCCAGCCCAGTTTTCTTAAAACAGTATAGCATGAGCAACTGCTTTAAGAACTTTTGTTCAGCAGGCCTGAAGGCTCTCATTAACATCCAGTGCACATAAATAAGCCCCAAAGGAAATGGAGCATAGCAGCTGTTTCCTTATGTTTTAATGCAATTATACCCATATTTAATATAGACTACTTCACTCCCTAAAACTCTGAAAGAGAAAAAGGAAGAAGTAGGAATCATGGTTCTGTGAAGCAGATACATTAAAATGCTCTCTTTCAAAAACACCCTCACTCATTCTATTTCATCAGTGCTTCTCTACATGTTTATCAAAAGTGGACTGAAAGGAAAACGATATAACAACAAAAAATTCCCACAGTACTGTTTTAAGGGCAGTTGATAAAACCAAAGAGCATGGAGAAGCATAAAAATACTTCCTCATGTTGCTTTTTGAGTCACTACTTCCTCTCTAACCAAAAGTGCACATTGTGATGAAGTGCACAGATCAACTTCTAAGCCTGCCAGAAGATGCCTAAAGTACCTTTAGCCAAGTTACATACCCGATTATTCATTTACAGAAGAAGATGACACACTCATTCTTCCAGCCTTTGCATTGAGAATTTTACATTCTAAGTAGGTAAAATAAATCAGACAATATTCAGCGATGCTTGCAGGAAAGACTGTGCCAAGTCTGTAGACTCCAAGAGACTTTTCTTACACCGCAAGCTTATTAATGAATGGCTTCAGAGAATCACTTTCAGTTCAGGAGGATGAAACAGTAGATCTCTGTGATACTAGTACTGAAAGTGGGAACAAAGTAGGAAACAAAAAGAACAGGTCATTCATCTTTAAACACTACAGACCAATGACTGCATTTTTCAGTTGTTTTTCACCATGCATTGACAACTGCGACACACATTCCCATAGCGGATATCTATTTCAAAATTATTTTTAATGTATTGTTCTGAGGACATCTTAAACTATCAGAATAAAATTTTCTGGAAAATTGCTTGGAAAAATTATTTTCCCTGTATTAAATTTTGGGAGTATCTCTGAAGGGGGGAGGGGGAACCCACTATATATATATAACTACGCATCAGAGTAGGGATTTGAAATTTGGCAGCGTTAAGGTCTTTGCGTTATTGGTCTTTCTTTCACGTTTGCCTAAGAAAAGTCACAGGAGATATGCTCTCTGAGACTTCCACCAATATCATGCCTGAACCTATTTGTAGCTTCAAAACATACATCTATAACCTCAGACTAGCTGCACTTCTAGTTTACCAAAACATAGCCAAATGACTACTCTGCTGTGGTCCAGCACAGAACAGAAAACTATCGTACAAGTCTGTCAGTTATGATCTATTCTTAGTCTCCTACTAGGCAGGAGCATTTTCTGAAGGAGCTGCTGGGGCTTGGTGCAGTCACTGAAAAATTGAAGACAAAACAATACAACTCACCAATCTGCTAAGATTAGTACTACAAAAAAAAAGGTAAGACTTCATTAATTAATAGATCAAGTAGTGCAAAATTAGAAGTGGTTGGTCAAATATCTAAAGCAAGGAACAACAAAAGAGAAGATTGAGATTGGATGAAGAAATCCACAGAAGGCCAGTTAGCAGGGCTGAAACATTTTTACAGGGATTGCGGAGCAAAGACATGAGATAACGTAGGCAAGGAATGTAACCCCATTGAGATCCAGAGATAATATTCAGCTGTCCAGGGTATACATTCAGTATTACATAACCTTCTCTGTTTCAGCAATTTCATGACATCTTCCTCACTGCAGACCTCCAAACAACATCCAATTGTTTTCCCTTGCATTTCTGAGGGGCACTGACCATTGTCAAGAACATCTGTCTAAGTGTCCATCTCCAAAGCCCTCATTGTGATCCTCTGACCTCACTCATGCATTTCTTACGTTACTATCATCATATTTTCCTTATTCTTCTAAAGTCAGTTACGATACTGTTCTGGACCTTTCACATTTGTCCACCTACACATGCAAAACGTTTTTCAAACTTTTCCAACAAATCAGGCAGGAGTCCTAAAGAGAATAGCTCCATTTATCCAAGCCTGATTCACTCCAGAGATGGTCTGTCCAGTACCCAGAGTAAAGTAAGGGTCCTGTGGAAAAAAAACGTATCACATATTATGATTCATTTACAACGAATAATGAATTGCACTTACAAAGGCACTCTCAGTTTCAGTATTTACTAACTCTAAGCACTAGATTTTTGCTTCTTAAAAGCATTCTCTTTAATATGGAGGGAACAGGGTCAAGAGGGATTGGGTATCTTCACTAATTCATTACAGTACTGACTATCCTGACTATCTGTGACTTTTCTGTGTGTCTCACGGTTTACTGCTCATTATCAGAAGAAACCTTACCTCCCTTCTAAAGTTTGCAATTCAGCTGGCCTTGACCGAGTAAAAACTTGAAGGGATACAGACTACCCGCTCTGGGAGAACAGTAGTTAGATGGGCATCACAAGTACACACGCATTCTCCAGAGGGTGCAGCAACTCCATCTCTTTTCTCACTTACACTGTAAATATGTTTCCCTTTGTCTTCCACCACCAAGGAAAAAAAAAAAAAAAGACTCTTCCCTTCCCATCCTAGTTTTTCCTTCTCCTCTCCTTCTCCTTTTTGCTGTCAAAGACAACGGAGCTGCACAAGCCAGGCCCAGGCCGCTGACTGCGCCTCACAGCAATGCCAAGGCTCCTTCCCCTTCCTCCAACTTCACGGCGAGCCTCGACACGGGCCGAGGCAAGAGGACGGCGATGACGGGGGCGAGGAGGAAACGTGCACAGGCTGAGAAGGGACCTCGCTAACCGCAGTCGGCGGCGAAGCGGCAGGCAGAGGTGACCCCAGGACGCCACCCCCGAGCACACAACAACAAAGAAAACAGAGGCGAGAGGAGGTGGCTGCCCTGGAGCTAGTTCCTGCTCCTCCCCCTGCGCGGCTCTCCGCCAAGACAGACAGCGCAATGTAAACAGAGACAAAATGTGCGTTTATGGCAAAGCAGGGGGTAGAGACATACTCTACATTTTCTGGCGGCTGCTGCCAGCAACGCACACCGTCTGTCTGCTCTGGTTTAAGGGGCGAAAACCAGAGTTATCCTGCGTTTTGTACACTGTAGGTGGGTAAACAAAGTATTTCTCTTCCTTCTCCGCTGCCACAGGGCCTCTTCTGAGGGGAAGAGATAACCTTCCCCGGCCGATAGGTTTGTCTTGAAACAAAACAAAACGTTGTTTCACAGTCCCTTTTGCTCCCTCCATAACGCTCCGACCTGGAAGACGCAATCTCCTACGAGACCCGACGTTACTAGGGCTTGAGAGGGAAAATATGTGAGCTCCCGTCCTCGCTCCATTTCCCCCAAGTCAGAAACACCAAGGGGAGGAGGCAGAGCCCCGAATCGCTGCTGGGGACAAGCGCTCCCCCTCACCTGGCTTCTCCCCCTGCGTCCGGATTTCGAGGCTGCAGCCTTTCCTCCTCCCCCAATTAAATTAATGCCCCCTCACACCTGCTCGGACCCACGGCAGCTACACAAACACCCTCTCCTCACCTCCCTTTTTGGGCCGGAGATTATTTATTACGCAGGTAGCGAAAAGACGCGCCGGGAAGGGGGGGG